GAGAAGGAGATGGTGATGTTCCCGCACAGGTGGTTTACCAGCATCTTGGGGATGGTGGTGGATGTAAAGCAGATGTCGAGAAGAGACAAGTTGCTGAGCAAGAAGTACATGGGGCTGTGGAGGTGAGGGTCCCTGACGATGGCTAGGATGGTGAGCAGATTTCCCGTGCACCCAATTAGATACAGGCTGAAGGATAAACCAAAGAGCATCTGCCTGTGCAGTGGTTGCTCAGAGAGGCCGAGAAGGATGAATTCAGAGACTTGGGTGTGATTGCCCATGGCCAGGCAGTTCTAAGGGTAGAAAAAGGGGTGTCAACAGTGGGTGGATTCCTGAGGTCAAAACAAGTCACTTCCTTGAAGATGCATCTCACTTAACCATGCTGAGCCTCAGTTTCCTCATCTGTACATGGGGTTAATACTTCTAAGATTTGATTTTTTTAAATAAAAATAAATAATATAAAGTGATTAAAGACAAGAACTCTGATGGCAGACAGCCTGAGTTTAAATCCAGCTCTGCCACTTATTAATTAGCTGTGTGATTTGGCCAAGATACTTAACCTTCTGTGCCTTAGTTTACTCATCTATTAATTAAAAATAATAATAGTACCTGCTCCATAGAGTTGTTGTGAAGATGTGATGGATTAATATGTAAAAGGCTGAACCTTATGTATATTTCTGAGAGATTAAATCTCTTAGCAGTTGAGAACAAGGGCTGGTCAGACAGACCCTGTTTGAATGATATCTCTGACCTTTATTAGCTGTGTGAGCCACTGACCGAAACTCCCAAAGCCTCAGTTTCCTGGTACAATTAATTAGACAATAGTTTGGAGCTCTATAAAAGGAAATTTTAAAAAAGCACTGCTCTTATAATGGCAGGTATCTTTTACATCAGTCCCCTCGTGGGGCGGTGGCAGCATGTACAGATTAATTAAATACTGAGATTGACAGTCTTAATATGTCCACAAATTCTGGCCCTATGTCCTAGCTGAGGCTTGTGTTATCCTGAGCCTGGCCTCCACTGGGCAGCCCACTGCCTCATATCCATCAATTTAGGCTAAATCATGGTGCAGTAATGTACAAGCCCAAATCTTGGTGGCTGGCAGCTATGAAAGCTTGTTTCTCACTTAAGCTACATGTCCATCACAGGTTTGCTATGGCTGGGCTGCATAATGACAACACTCCAGGACTCAGGCAGTTCCATAAATCTTTGTCTGCGATATTGCCAGTTATTGCAGCAGCAGGAAAGGTGAATTGTATGTCGGCTCCTAAGGGTTGCCTCTTCCTCACTCACAATTCATCAGCCAAACCTGGTATCGAGGGGCTTGGACAGGTAGAAATCTCTCCCTGCAGTAAATATCTGTGGAAAATAATAGACTCTCCAAAGTTTCCACTCACTTTTCTCTTCTACTTAAGGCTGAGGAGAAAGAGTGCATGCGTTTCTCTGTGAGACAACCTGCCTGTTTTTGTATCTCTGGACCCCCAAGCTCAGAACCCAGGAATGCTGTTTATCCTACAGTCCACTCATGGTATGCCACCATTTGCTCAGGGTACACCTGAGGTGTGAAATATTAGACGGCAGGTGTCTTGAAGAACCTTTCATTCAGTGGCTCTGAAATTCTGGCTCTAGCACCCACCCTCTCCAGTCTTCTACTTGACTATCTTGTTGCTTCCCAGACATCACTTCCAGAACCCGCCCCAGGCACTCCAGTCTCACGAAGTCCAAAAGAGGTGTCCTCCACCAGGGTTGCTGAGGTTGGTCGTGGGAATCAAGCACTGCACAATTCCTTAGAGCACACAACTGACACAACCCCAGCCAGCACCACCAAGACGAAGACTAGGCATTGCTCTCAACTCCTCCCTCACCTCTCACATCTCATCAGTTCCTAATTCATGCATTTTCAGCATTGTCTTCACCTCTTGGACAGAAAGATCATTCATCTTCAGAATGAGTACACTAATCCAGGCCACCATCTAATCTCACCTGGATTGTCCACCTTCCCTGGTCTCCCCATGGCAACTCTCGCCCCCTGCAGTCCATTCTACACACTGCAGCCAGAGCAACCTAATGAAAACGCCAATGGGGATCTTGTCCAAGTTCACTATTTCATGGCTTACCACTGCTCTTCTTATTCCCAGGCATCTTCAGTTTCCATCTTCCTGGTTTTGCATCCTGCCTTAGGTCCTTTACATCTGCTTTCACTCCTGCCTTGAAGCCACTAGACTCCAGCTCCACATGATTTATGTTGCCTTCACTTCTGCAAGGATCACTTTCCTGGTTCCCCTCCCTACTGGGTGGAGCCCAGGGGTTCTAAACCTGGGTACTACTGACATTTGAGGCAAGATCATATGTCTGTGTGTGGTGGGGACTGCCTTGTATATTACTGTAGGATGTTGAACAGCATTCCTGGCCTTGACCCACTGGATGTCAGTTGTACCCTTCTTGTCCCCAGTTGCAATGATCAAAAACATCTTGAGACTCCTCGGGGAGGAGTAGAAATCACTCCCAGTTAAAGATTACTGATCTTGATTAAACCCCACTGAACTCTCTTCTCTCCACAGCAACTGTACAGATCCGCTAACTTTGAGCAAGACAGTGACATTTACTCAGCGTAATTCACAATGAGCTAATCTCTTGACATATATCATCCCATTTAGCCCTCAACCATATCATGAGCAGACAGCAGAGGCTCCAAACCTAACTCCTGCATGGAACTAGGGTCCAGCCCAAGCTCTGGTTCCAGCATCCACTCTCTTGACCAGCTCACTATGACCCTACCCACCCATGAGTCTCTGATGCCAAGCATCCTAAGTCCTTGTGGATAAACTGAGCAGAAGATCCCCAACCTCTGAGGGGAAGTTCAGGGATTGTTTCCTCTGAGACCAGCTCTGCTGCAGCTTGTCTTCTAGACTCACTTAGTCAACCAATGGCTACTATACCTGTTGGATTCCAGGACCTCTCAGTCCCCAGCTGTCCTGTTTCCAGGGCTTTGGGGCTGTTGCCTCAAATGTGTCTCTCAGCTGCGGAGGAGGATCATGCTTTCTCAGGGAGCACACAGCAGGAACACCATCAGCAGGTTTATACCAGACTCTCTGACTTCCAGGCGTGATCCCCAGAGAACCTTGTTAGAGCAAATACAATTAGCTCATCTTCCCTACTGGAGCCTTTGAGTCTAGCATCCTTGTGGGAAGTAGTTTTTTCCTAAGAGTATTGCCTTTCTTTAGATCTGTCCATCTTGGTTGATAGAAGAAAAGCAAGATACACAATATTTCCCATGAAGAAGCTTTTAAATGTTATTCCTAGTAATAGCTCCAATATATTAAGCATTTGTAATGTGACTGGAGCTGTGCAGAGCACGCAATATTCTATAATTCTTAGAAAAGCCTGATGAGGAAGGTAATAGAGAATTTCACTGGTCCATTATTCACCCAGCTTGAAGTGGTAGATCTAGGATTCAAATCTAGGTAGACTGGCTCCAGGGATAAACTAATGAACACAAATGACTCTGAGCACACCTAAAGAGATATTTATCCCTTTAAAATGCTGAAGAATATTGCATTGTATTTATACATCTTAATTTGTTTATCCATTCATCTGTTGATGGACATTTGTGTCGTTTCCACCTTTTGGTTATTGTGGATAATGCTTCTGTGAATATTCATGTAGAAATGTTTGTCTGAGTCCCTGTTTTCAATTCTTTCTGTATATATCCAAAATGGAATTTCTGGGTCATATAGTAATTCTGTTTCACTTATGAGGAACTGCCTATTTTTCGTAGTGGCTGCACTGTTTTGCATTCCTACCAGCAATGTATAATGTTCTGGGATAGCACTGAAATGTCCAGATAAGGCAAGCAACAACCCATCTCCCCTTCCTCTCAGCCCATGGCAATCACCCTTCTACTCTCTGCTTCTATGAATTTTACTATGTTAGATTCTTCATAGAAGGGAAACTAAATAGTGTATTTGTCCTTGTGTGACCAGCTTATTTCACTTAACATAATGTCCTCAAGGTTCATCCACATTCTCTCATATGGAAGGATTTCCTTCTTTTTAAAAAATTATTTATTTATGTATTTCTTTATTTAGTTTTTTGAGGGGGTAATTATTTTATTTATTTATTTATTTATCTTCCACCAATGAAATTAGGTGATGCTCTGCCATCTGGATATCTTGTATCCTGGGCCCCGTGCTGAATCTAGGAAGGGTAATGTGTGAGGCTTATGGAAGCAGGACAAGGTAGTCTGTGTTTCCTTCCAAAGGTT